TGGACGGAAACTGGCACAAGAGCGGTTAGGGTGAAGCAGAACAGAAAGAAACTGTCATGGAATATATATGCACTTCACGTTGTGAAACAGATGAGTTCTGAAGGGTCTTGTTCGATGGTCTCGGGGGCTCCGATCAGCAGTGGATTGATTTGGGTTATCTACGTTATTTAGGCGTTAGTCGCTTTGATGTGGGACTGACTAGACGCTAGGCACCCAACCGTAAAATACCTTGTAGGTGAGGCAGGGGGTGAGTTCCCCACCCTGGTCTGAAATGCGGGCGCATTTATTCAAAGCGGTGGATACAGCCGCGCCCAACAACCATCGCCCGTGCCAAATTGTCCATTGCGGATGTAGATCCGAAGCCTTCGTCAGGCCCAAACCAACCGGATCTGGAGTAGGAAGGCGAACANTACTGGTAAGAGGATATTGTCAGGATGTCTAGTTCTACAGATCCAAAATGGAGCTGGATACGCGTAATGGTAGAACATCAGCTGATAGAGAGGACACAGCTACCTGGTTAGCATGTGCCACTGAGTTGAGCCAATGTAGTCGGATGAAAACGCAATCAGATATACATAAAGAAATGAGAGATGGATCACAATAAATATGAACGTATGTACCAACGTTGATTGTCTTGCACAGATCCAGCTTCGAAGCAGGATCCGTGTACTGGTATGAAATTGGTAGAGAAAGTGAGCACTGCTACCTGCTTAGTATGTGCCACGGAGTTGAGCCATTAGAGTCAGAAAATAACGAGATGATATATATGTACAGTTAGGAAAGATGGGTCACAATGCTTATAAAAGTATGTACCACAGTAGGTTGTGTTCCACAGATCCAGCTTCGAAGCTGGAAGCTGTAGATGGAAATTTGTTCCATACGTTGACCACGCGGTTGGAGAAAAATTGTGCCCTGGCACTTCCGTTGACCCGTGGTTTCATCAGTCTCAGTTCATATACATTATTGACGCCTAGAATGGGCTTTGTGAAGCCTTTTATGAAAGAGCCTCCTGCAGGTGGTTGCCGACGCCAATTTAACACTACAGGATTACACTCAACAGGTTTTGTGGTCTAAAGATATGATCACACTGACGGTCGCATTAGCAGCGGTTCACTAATACTCTTAACGGAACACCTAACACAAGTAGCCATAACAAATCTGGGGACAGGAAACATCCAATTCACTGGGTGCTTACTAAAACAACCTCATGGTGAAGTGGCAGTAGTTTCCACATAACGTAGTCGTCGGTCCTCCACAGAGGAGGAGGATGAGTTGATCGCCCAGCTCAGGAAAGTAACGGGACAGGTCAACACATACCTTTTTAGGCGACCAAAATGCTCTTGAGATCGACTGGCCGATGGATAACGCACCACCTGGCAGCTTTGGAGATGAGTTGCTTGGCATATTGCTCAATTCAGCCCCGGTACAGCACATCAAGCACCCAATAAAATGGAAACCCACTCAACATCCTGGATCCGGTATTCACCAAGGGCGTGAATGAAATCGAGAACTTGGAAATAGTAGCACCCAGGGTCGGAGTGACCGTTTTCGATTTAATAATAATAATGGTATATTTCACGAAGCCCGTGGGGCATGCTATTGCGCATGATCAAATGTACAACAATGTAAACAAATGACGGTCCAAACAAAGATTAAATTTGTAGAGAGGGTAAGATCGAAATTTTCAAACGAGTACAAAAGACATCGTAACCATGCATTGCGGTGAAAAAGAAACACAAAGCGGACAAAGTCATATAATGGAGCACTGAGGGTGATCTGTTATGGAGATCACATCAATGTAAACGATTGTATTATGAAGAACATTAGAGAAGACACAGAACTGGAGATGAAAATATCCGCTCGGGAGATGATGCGCGGAAACGAGTTCGGAGAACACAAGGAGGGTAGTGAACGTGAAAGCTTTAGAATTTCAGAGGAAGAGCTGCGGTCGAACCAAGGAAGTGCAACGGAATACAGTAGGATGACAAATGGATCATAATTAAACTGTCAAAGTTTGATACAGATGGACTGACTTCTTGAACAAGGAGTAAAGGGCTTCGGAGCTTCACCGTTAACGGATTGACTGGTTTATATTATTTATGTTATTTAGGCGTTGGTCGCTTTGATGGGGGACTGACTACAGGCTAGACACCCAAACTTAAAACACCTTGTAGGTGAGGCAGGGGGTGTGATTCTCAACCT